CTTGTGAAATAGTGGGTTAAGCTGCCACTTGTGATACCAGCATCCCATATCGGTGTGCTGCTTAGAGTCCTGGCTACTCTACTTTCAATTGAGCTTCCTGCTAATGTACCTCCAAAGACAGTAAAAGATGGCCCAACTGCTGGGATCCCTGCCATCATGTGGGAAACCTCAGATGGAGTTCCTGCTGCGGCCACTTAGGGAGTGAACCAGTAAAGATCGCTCTCTCTTAGCTTCTCTGTCGCTCTGCCTTCCAAATAAATAAAGATATCTGTCTCACTGTTGCTCAGACCTTCAAACAAATAATGCTTTTCAAAATTATTTTAAAAATCAATAAAATAGGGGCGGGCAATGTGGCACAGTTGGTTAAGCTGCCACCTGCAATACCAGCATCCCCTATGGGCACCGGTTCAAGTCCTTGATGCTCCACTTCGAATCCAGCTCTCTGCTAATGGGCCCGGAAAAGTAGCAGAGGATGGCCCAAGCCTTGGGCCTCTGTAGCCCTGTGAGAGACCTGGAAGAAGCTCCTGGCTTCAGCCTGGCCTAGCCCCAGCTGTTGTGGCCATTTGGGAGCCGAACCAGAGGATGGAAGATCTCTCTACCTCGCTCAGTCTCTCCTTCTCTCTCTCTGCTTTTCAAATAAATAAATCTTAAAATAAAAATCAACGAAATAAAGATGAATTTTGAAGAAGATAAACCAGCGGCCAGCGCTGCGGCTCACTAGGCTAATCCTCCGCCTGCGGCGCCAGCACACCAGGTTCTAGTCCTGGTCGGGGCGCCGGATTCTGTCCCGGTTGCCCCTCTTCCAGGCCAGCTCTCTGCTGTGGCCAGAGAGTGCAGTGGAGGATGGCCCAAGTCCTTGGGCCCTGCACCCACCTGGGAGACCAGGAGAAGCACCTGGCTCCTGGCTTTGGATCAGCGCAGTGCACTGGCTGCAGCGCGACTGCTGCAGCGGCCATTGGAGGGTGAACCAATGGCAAAGGAAGACCTTTCTCTCTGTCTCTCTCTCTCACTGTCCACTCTGTCAAAAAGAAAAAAAAAAAAAAAAAAGATAAACTGGCAAACTGTTAAGCTACACTAATGAAGAAAAAAAGATTCTAGCCAAATAAAATCTAAGATGAAAAGGGAGACATTACAACCGATGTGACAGAAATACAAAGGATCATTAGAGACTATTATGAACACCTATATACCAGCAAATTATAAAACCTGGAAGAAATAGATATTTTGGGACATATATAACTTAACAAAATTGAGTCATGAAAATACAGAAAACCTAAGCAGAACAATTCACAGGTAACAAGATTAAGTCACTAACTTAATAAAAACCTCCCCCCCCCCCCCAAAAAAAAGCCCCAGATTAGATCACTTCACTGATGAATTCTACCAAACCTTTAAAGAATTAATGTGGGGGAGGGCGGCGCTGGTGCTGTGGCCCAGCAAGTGAGGCTGCCGCCTGCGGTGCCAGCATCCCATATGGGTGCTGGTTTGAGTCCCAGCTGCTCCACTTCTGATCCAGCTCTCTGCTGTGGCTTGGGAAAGCAGTAGAAGATGGTTCAAGTCCTTGGACCCCTGCACCCGCATGGGAGACCCAGAAGAAGCTCTTGGCTCCTGGCTTTGGATCGGTGCAGCTCCCCAATGTGGCCAAATGGGGAGTGTACCAGTGGATGGAAGACCTCTCCCTCTCCCTCTCCCTCTCTCTCTGCCTCGCCACTCTGTATAACTCTTTCAAATAAAAATAAATAAATCTTTAAAAAAATAAATAAAAATGGACAAATGGGGCCAGGGTTGTGACACAGTAGGTTAAGCTTCCACCTGCAGCACTGGCATCCCCTATGAGGGCTGGCTTGAGTCCTGGTTGCTCCACTTCTTTTTTTTTTTTTTAATATTTTTTTGGATAGGCAGAGTTAGACAGTGAGAGAGAGAGAGAGAAAGGCCTTCCTTCCATTGGTTCACCCCTGAAATGGCTGCTAATGGCCTGGGAAAGCAGTAGAAGATGGCCCAAGTGCTTGGGCCCGTGCACCCGCATGGGAAACCTGGAAGAAGCTCCTGGCTTCTGGCTTTGGATCGGCCTAGCACCAGCCATTGTGACCACTTGGGGATTCTCTGTCTCCCTCTCTCTAACTCTGCCTTTCAAATAAATAAATCTTTAATGAAAAGAGAGAGAGATAAATGTTTGAGAAGATAAGTATGTTTGCCCGGATTTAAACCTTATACAATGCAGACGTTGTATACGTGCATTGAAATATCCTATGGCACTCTCTAAATATGTATGTGGGTACTTCAAAAGGTTGATGGAAAAAATGGAATTAAAAAATGTTTATTTTGCTGCAAAAGACTTTGAAATCCATGCAATTTCTTCATAATTCACATTTCTATGAAGTTTACGGCGATCTCTGATAAATACAATTCCAAAATTTTCCTAGACTAAAATATCCTTGATTTTTAATTCCATTTTCCATGAGCTTTGTGAAGTACTCTTACACATCCAAAGGAGCTGTGGTCAGTATGCTGGAGATACCTGCACTCACATGGTCACTGCCGCACTATTCACAACAGTCACGGCACAGACTCAACCTACATATCCAGGAAAAGAAATGTGGCATACAGACACAATGGATTGTTATTCAGCCATGAAAGAGAATGGAGTTTTGTGATTTGCAGCAACACGGATGGAACTGAAAGACATGAAGACAGGCACAGAAAGACAGATATCACATGTTCTCACTTTTATGTGGAAGCTAAAAGTTGGTCTTAAAGAAGTATAGAACAGTAGTTCTGAGTGTAGAAAAGGTATGGAGGAACAGGGGATAAAGAAAGGACAGTTAACAGGGGTACAGCTGGATAGGATATTCTACGGCACATTAGAATAACTGCAGTTTGCAACAACAAACTGAAGTTTCCAAAATAGCTGGTAGAATATTCTGAGAAATGATAAATGTCAGAGGTGATACATATGCCAATTGCCCTGATCCAATCAATGCATATAATGTGTTATACTATACCCAATAAACACACTGAAATGTCATAATATATGGGGGCTGGCATTGTGTTGTAGTGGGTAAAGCTGTCACCTGTGACTCCAGCACCCCATATGAGCACCAGTTCAAGGCCCACCTGCTTCAGTTCCAATCCAGCTCCCTGCTAATGTGCCTGGGAAAGCAGCTGCAGAAGGCCCAAGCACTTGGAACTGCCCCTGCACCCATGTGGAAGATCTGAATGAAGCTTCTGGCTCCTAGCTTCAGCTTGGCCCAGCCCTAGCCATTGTGGCCAATTCAGAAGTGGACCAGTGGATAGAAGACTTCTCGCTCTCTGCCTCTCCCTCTCTGTAATACTACCTTTCAAATAAAAAAGAAACTAATAACACATGAATGAAAATGGAAAGATACAAGTCAGCAACATGTGAGGAAAGTATTTGATGGGGCTTGACTGAAAACTCACCACCATAACAAACTGCCAAAATAAGTCAACGCACACTTTTAAGAAACGGGGTCTAGAATGAGAGACTGAGAGCCGGCGCCGTGGCTCACTTGGCTAATCCTCCACCTGCGGTGCCAGTACCCCGGGTTCTAGTCCCGGTCGGGGCGCCGGATTCTGTCCCGGTTGCTCCTCTTCCAGTCCAGCTCTCTGCTGTGGCCCAGGAGTGCAGTGGAGGATGGCCCAAGTGCTTGGGCCCTGCACTCACATGGGAGACCAGGAGGAAGTACCCAGCTCCTGGCTTTGGATCGGCGCAGCGCCAGCCGTAGTGGCCATTAGTGGAGTGAATCAACAGAAGACCTTTCTTTCTGTCTCTCTCTCTCATTGTCTAACTCTGCCTGTCAAAAAATAAAAAAATAAATTAAAAAAGAGACTGAGAAACCCACTGTATTATGAACTAATCATACTGTATCTGGGCTATTACATTTGGCTCTCAAGATCACTTTTTAAAAGAAAGACTTCCAAAATGAAGCATGCCTAGGTAAAAGCAAGATGATGATGATAAAATACTGAAAAAGTATACTTAGAAAATAAGAATGCTAAAAACATGTAGGGACATTGTGCCTGGAGAGGTCTGGACTTGAGGAATATGAGGGGGACTAGCACTATAGAGCAGTGGGTTAAAGCCCCGGCCTGCAGCACCAGCATCCCATATGGATGCCGATTGAAGTCCCAGGTGCGCCAATTGCAATCCAGCTCTCTGCTATGGCCTGGGAAAGCAGCAGAAGATGGCCCAAGGGCTTGGGCCCCTGTACCTAAATGGGAAACCCGGAAGAAGCTCCTGGTTCCTGGCTTCAGATCAGCTCAGCTCTGGCCGTTGTGGCCATTTGGGGAGTGAGCCATCAGAAGAAAGACATCTCTCTCTCTGACTCTGCCTCTCTATGTAATTTCATCTTTCAAATAAATAAAATAAATCTTTAAAAAAAAGGAGTACGAGGAAGAAGCATAAAAAAATCTTAAAATATACATAGGACTAATGAGAGATTAAATTTACTCCAGAAATCCTTAGAGAGAATTGTATCAAGAGCTTACATGGGGCCAGCGTTGTGGCACAGCAGGTTAAACTGCAGCCTGCCGATGCCAGCATCCCTTATGGACAACAATTCAAGTCTTGGCAGCTCCACTTTTTGATCTGGTTCCCGCTAATATGCCTGGGGAAGCAATGGAAGATAACCCAAGTGCTTGGGACCCTGACACCCATTAGGCAGACGCAGATGGAGTTCCAGACTCCTGCCTTCAGCCTGGACCAGCTCTGACCACTACAGCCATTTGGGTAGGGAATCAGTGGATGGAAGATTTCTTTCTCTTTGTAATTCTGCCTTTCAAATAAAAGGTTCCATTCTCACCTCAAAATGAGAACTAAAATGCAATAGATAGAAAGCTTCCCATGTCTGAAGTGATCAAGTAGAAGTTAGCTGTCAGGAATTTTATAAAGAGGATTCCTCCATCTTTTCCAATTGAAATGACATGGCTCTATATCTGCTTTAATGGTTTCCTTTAACAACAATGACAGCTTAAATGCTTACCAGATTCTTTTCAATATCTTGATCTGTGTTTACCTCTGAATCAGCTGTCTTAAAGTCAGTCTGTAAAGGAAGAAACAATCGTATTTAGAACTGTTCCAAGACATTTTAAGAAAGGTACTTATTCTAGGATTCCACCTAGAAATCTGCCACAGGCAACTAAGAAACAAATGTTTTGCGCTTTCCCCCATTAGCTCATAGAAAGAAAAACAATGTAGTTCTGGCAAACGGACACCAGCATCCACATGACAATAATCATTTGTCCCAGAAAATAAGCTGAACAAGGCTCAGCAGCTGACTGAGAGAAAGTCTCCACTCTGAGATGACAATTTTGCCCCTACAACCTATCGTGCCCATACTTCCTCCTACGACAAAGCACACCAGTCACTAGAAGGCAGGATACACTGTACTTCGTAAGATGTAGGTCAGAGAATTAACAAGGATTCCTCCTGCAAGGACAAAGATGGGAAATATGAATGCTCGTGACCTGTGCTCATCAGTTCCTCAGCCAAAGAGATCACACGTAGGTCATAAAATTCCCACTGGCCGTAAGATTCGACGCTGGCATTGGCTTATTTACTGAGCACCAGAATGAACTCACTGCATGGCACCGTGTGAAAACAGTATGACAGTTGCTAGCAAAGAATCCTGAGACAGTGTAGTTTACCAAACACGAAGGGATGTTTCCTACCCTCAAACCACCCCCCAAATTCCATTTTAATAGTAGAAACTTGATACTTGACCTGTACAGCAATGTTCTGAGAAAGCTTCAAGGAAGAGCTATCCTGATCATCATCCTGATCCACTCTGACTCCTTCAACCCCATTTGCGGGAGGCACCACAGGTCGGAAATCCAAGCCTGTGTCCCTGCTCCCTTCCTTTTGGATGGAGGCTTGTGGGGACTTCTCTTCAGGGCCATTCTCGGAGGCAGGCTGCTTTGTACGGCACCCTGCCTTATGGGATGGAGTGACTGGACGGAGGCTCTCCTGGAGGCTCGTGTCCCCCTCCTCGCCTGCTGTGCTGGCCAAGTCCTTCATATCAGACTGAGACCCACTGCCAGAAAGACAAATGGCTGTGGCTATCAAGTTTTCTCCTACAACTTCCTGGTGCGCTGCTGGAGTGTCACCCGCTGATGAACCAGGATTCTGCTCTGGGTGTTCCAAATGGACATTTCTGTTATTCTCCTTGGTTAGCGTTTGGCTACTTACACTCGACAGAGGCGAGTTCTTCTGCTTCTGTGCAGGATCTTTGGGGCTATCAAAAACATAAAATAAAAAGTTTCTCTCTTCACTCAGTCTTTCAGAGGATTTGGTACATAACACTATCAACAAACCATTAGAAAAACAAAACTAGGCTAAATAAATCATCCCCATTAACAGAATGAAGAAAAACTTAATTTCCAACCAATGATTTCTACCCATCTGTAAGCAGTAATGCTAGGCGGCGTAGAACCTGGGTTCTGGAGACAGTCTACAGAAAACGCACAAACAGAAATGACTCTGAAGATCCAAAAAGAGGTTGAGGGACAATATGAACATAGATGCAACAACCTAACGCTAGTTAGAATATTCAGTTGCATGCACTATTTTACACATATTTTAGTACATAAGACAATAACCTAGAAATATTGATTCTACTCTCATGTTTCACAAAACACACTTTGATTCAACCTCATTACATGTGTCTTTGACCAGAATCACTTTTAGGTTCTTTGACAGTTTTCCAGAGCACAGCCTGCTCACTTCAAGTGTCTGGATGCAGACAGTCCAGCCCTCCTGTGCAGGTGGCAAGATCACAGCTACTAGAGCTGCCACTTGCTGCCTCACAGGGTGCCGTTAGCAGGAAGCTGGGATTGACAGGAGAGCCAGGACTGAGATAATGGGACATGGGTATCCCAGTCAGCGGCTCACCTGCTGGGTCAAACACTCTGTAAGGTACTGCTTTTTAAAGAGATCTTTAAAACTGATTTATGATGACATGAACATTCCTAATGGTAAGTCTTAAGCCCAAACATTAAGCCTATGTGAAATTCCTTTGCCATCTCCCCCTTTTAACTGACTTTTTCAACTGACCCTCTCTTACATCACAAACTAGCATTTGCTGAGAATTAAAGTCAACACATCTTTCTGTCCTCAATAGCACCTGCCCTACCTCCCAGGCTTGGGTCTAGCCCAGCCCCAGATGTTATAGACATCTGAGAAGTGAACCAGCAGATCTCTCCCATTCTCTGTCACTCTGCTTCCCAAATAAATAAATCTTTAAAAATATATAAAATAAGGCCAGCGCCGCGGCTCAATAGGCTAATTCTCCACCTAGCGGCACCGGCACACCGGGTTCTAGTCCCAGTCGGAGCACCGGATTCTGTCCTGGTTGCCCCTCTTCCAGGCCAGCTCTCTGCTGTGGCCCGGAGTGCAGTGGAGGATGGCCCAAGGGCTTGGGCCCTTCCCCCCATGGGAGACCAGGAGAAGCACCTGGCTCCTGCCTTCGGATCAGCGCGGTGCGCCAGCCGTGGCAGCCATTGGAGGGTGAACCAACGGCAAAGGAAAACCTTTCTCTCCATCTCTCTCTCTCACTATCTACTCTGCCTGTCAAAAAAAAAAAAAAAAATATATATATATATAAAAAAAAAAGTGAGTTAAGTTGCTGCCTGTAATACTGACAATCCATATAAGCACTGGTTTGAGTCCTGCCTGCCCCACTTCCTATCCAGTTTCCTGCTATTGCACCTGGGAAAGCAGAAGATACTCCAGGTACTTGGGTCCCTGCCACCCATGTGAGAGACCTGGGTGGGGTTTTGGCAGATGAACAGACTTTCTCTCTCTCAAAAAAAAAAAAAAAAATACTCTTTCTGTCTCCTTCTCTCTCTGTAACTCTGTCTTTCAAATAAATTTAAAAAATTTTTAAAATCTTTGAAAAAATAAAGCTCGGGGCTGGTGCTGTGGCTTAGCAGGTAAAGCCATCACCTGCAGTGCCAGCATCCCAAATGGGGGCCAGTTTGTGTCCCAGCTGCTCCACTTCTGATCCAGCTCTCTGGATCAGAAAGTAGTGGAAGATGATGGCCCAAGTGCTTGGGTCCCTGCACCCATACGGGAGACCTGGAAGAAGCTCCTGGCTCCTGACTTCGGATCAGCCCAGCTCCACCTGTTGCGGCCATTTGGGGAGTGAACCAGTGGATGGAAGACCTCTCTCCCTCTGCCTCTCTGTAACTCTGCCTTTCAAATAAAAATTCTGCCTCTCTGTAACTCTGCCTTTCAAATCAAAATAAATAAATCTTTAAAAAATAAATAAAGTTAATGGAGATGTAAGATGACTGACACCCACACTGCAGTGCCTGATGATATCTAGCTCTAGTTAGCTTCCCGTTAACGCAGACCCTGGGAGGCAGCGGTGATAGCCCAAGTAGCTGGGTTCCTGCCACCCAGATGAGACCTGGATTGAGTTCCCAGCTCCTGGCTTCAGCCCCTGGCTTTGATACCTGGCTGAAGACATGCATGCATGTGGGGAGTAGACAAGGAGTAGAAGTGCTCTTTCTATAACTACTCATAAACAGTAAATAAATGTAACAATAAAAAGTTTGTGGAATGTAGAATTAAAGGACATTTATTTTGATGTAAAAAATTTTGAAATCCATGTATTTTTCAAAATATGCATTTTCCATTAACTTTTTGAAGATTCCTTGTATAGTCAACTTGTTTCAGTATTATATATAACAATGTATTATCCACATGTATTAGTAACATGCAGAGTTGGGTAATCACAATTCCTGCCCTTAAGCGTATAGATGGGAGGTAAAATGTATACATAAAGCAGCAGGCTATATTAACAAAGACATCTACGTAGAAACATACACATATGTGTATGTGTTTATGCATGCATACTACACATGTAACCACGTTTCTATGTATATGATATATAAACACACAGTTAAAAGAGCATGCAGGGTTCAGCACTGTGGCATAGTGGGAAAGGCTGCCGCCTGCAGTGCCAGTATCCCATATGGGCGCTGGTTCGAGTCCTGGCTGCTCCTCTTCCAGTCCAGCTCTCTGCTATGGCCTGGGAAAGCAGTAGAAGATGGCCCAAGAACTTGGGCCCCTGCACCCGTGTGGGAGACCCGGAAGAAGCTCCCGGCTCCTGGCTTCAGATTGGCCCAGCTCCAGCTGTTGTGGCCATCTGGGGAGTGAACCAGCAGATGGAAGATCTGCCTCTGCCTCTCTGTAACTCTGCCTTTCAAATAAATAAATCTTAAAATATATATATATATATATATATATATATATATATATATACATGGAGGATGGGGAAAATATTTGCATTTAGGATGTCTGACACCCTGTATTCTAATCATTCAGTATTTAGCATGCCTGTGAGTGGCAGGTGCTGTGCTGGATTCCAGAAACACAGAGACAGATCAGATGACCCCTACCTTAAAAAAAGCTTCAGCTAGTGCAGCGGCATTAGAGCTACAGAGACCCCCACCTCTACAGCACTTTACCCAAACCAGGCTTCAAGAACCACACATTTACCTTAGGCCATCTGGCAGGCCTGCTTCTGATTGGGAAGCACACAAACTAGAGGAGGATTCTGGAGGTTCGGGGGCATTGGCCGCAACGCCAGCGACCTCGGGCGCCGCCATCACGCTCTGCGTATTGGGAAACAAAGGAGAGTTTTCAAGAGGTGAAAACAAATGTATCTTTCCCCCCACTCTGAATCTGCAAGCAAGACTGAAAGAAACACCAGGAAAAAGTTGGGCTGCAGAAGAAAACACTCTAGTATCCTCCAGCGGGGTATTGAGAGCCACTGTACGCAGTAGGCGCAGCATCAAGCCTCAGGCGTCACCATCATCCAACCGTCTGTGCAAGCCTTCCCCTTGCATCCTGGCCCAAATGCACTCATCTAAAATACAGTCTGCGAATCTTCCACTGACCTTGCCCACTACCACTTCTAAAAGATGTGATCCTTCTGGCCTGGTATCAACAGTCCCTTAGGTTTTTAAATCGCCTGGTGGCTGTTCCATCTCCGTTCATGTAAGTTTTCTGCAGGTGTCTGTGTGTGAGAACAAGGAGTGCAATCCCGGGCGATCCCAGTGCCTAGCTGCCTGGGTCCGTGTGTTCCTCCCAGAGGGGAAAGTCTTAGCCAGAAAACAAAACCATCTTTCAGTCGCTACAGCGGTGCAACAGAAGTATGAGACCTGGGCTACCCTAGCACCAAAACAGAAGCTGAGCAACACAGCAACAGAAGTAAGGCAACCTGCCGATGCTTTTTCTTTCTTTTTTTTTTTTAATCTAAAGGTCATCCTTTGCGATGCAGCACAAACTCACGGCCTTCTACAGTGAGGAAAACGTCTCTGGGGAGGCAGGCGGGCGAAGTACTGTCAGTTTCCATTCTAACAGCATCGCCGGCGGACCCCTGCCACTGACGAGCGCGCAGGGCAGCTATGGCGACAGAGCCGTGTCAACACTTCAGCCACAGTCCAGACACCCGCTGTGTCTCAGTTTTCCTCTTGCTACAAAGCGCCCGCGAGAAAAACGGGCCCCAAATCGCCATGACTGCTTCCTCAAGTGCACACATCCTGACTCCAACAGTGCGCAGGGTCGGGGGGGGGGGGGTCTCCGGAGTGGGGCAATGGGGCACACACGCCAAGTCCGCGGCACCGGGGCCGGGGGGCTGCGGGCGCACGGGCGCGGGGCCCGAGGGGCTCCCGCGACCCGGCGGCCACCACCGGCGAGGCGGCGGCGCGTCCCCGGGGGAGAACGGCGCACGGACGGAGAGCGGACAATGGGGGGAAGCAGCCCCGGCGGTCACAGCCAGCCTCCACAGGGACCGCGCGGCCGGCCGCAGCCCCCTACACCTCCCCCCCTCGGGCCCCCACCCCACGGCCAGCCCCGTCCCACTTCTAGGCCGAGGACCCCCGACTCCGTCCTCACGGCACCCTCCACGCCCCCCACCTCGGCCCCGGACCCCCGCCCGCGTCCCGGCCTCGCCGTCCCCTCCCGCGCGCCCGCCCCGCACACACCTCCCGCGCCGCGCCCCCAGGAGAAAAGCAGGGGGGAGGGACGGGACGCACCTGAGCGGGCGGAGCGGGGGGAGGGGGCGGCCGAGCCACGGGGGGAGGGGTCGAGCGCCGGCCCGCGCGCGACACCTCCCACTTCCGGCGGCGCGAGCGGAGGGGGCGAGGCTCAGGCCGCGAAAGGAGAGGCCGCCGGAGCGCCGCGCCGCCCCCGACGGCGCCCTCTGGCGGCGAGAGCCGGCACCGCCCGGGGCGCGGGGATGCTGCGGTAAGACCCCAGAGGTACGCGTGGTCTCGCCCGAGGCGCTGAGAGGACGGGAGATGCGGGCGCCAAGAAAGCAGGCGACCCGTGGTGGAGGCAGCAGCCGCTGCGGGGAAGTAATAGGGACAGTCAGGGCCACGGCATCAGAGGGAGCAGAGCCATGAGGTGCTTTTTAAAGATCGGAACCGAGATGCCCTCTCCAGTGGACGCCATGCAAAAGAAGCCGCCTCTGGAGAGGGACCCTGTTGAAGATGCCCCCGAGGACTCGGGACGCGGGAGTCCCGGGAGCGGGGCCCGCCCACCCCGCCCGGCCTGCACCCGCGGAGGCCGCGGCGGGAGCCGGCCCGAGCGCCGGGGGCGCGGGCCCGGGGTCGCGGGCGGGCCGGCGGCACCGGCCGCGGATTGGCTGCGGCGCCGGGCGGAAGTGATGCGGCTGTCACCGACTCCTCCGGCTCCCGGGAAGCCGCGAGTTTCCGCGGGGAGGCGGCGGCAGCAGCTGCGGCCGGGCAGGCGGGTGAGTTGGGCACCAGTGGGGCCGCACCGTGGCGGTCGGCGGGGCAGAGGCCGGGGGAGGTCAGGGGGCCGGGCCCCGGGGTCTCCGGTTCCCAGGCGGGGAGGGAGGGGTCGCCGGGGCCGGGGGATCCGGCCCCTCGGAGCAAGGTGTGGCCGCGAGGAGGACCGTGGCTTGGGAGCAGACTCCTGAACCCGGGGCCGCCCGCAGTCTCCTCCGCCGGCCCTGGCCGCCGGGGGCTGGGAAGACAGGCCTGTGGTGGAGGGAGGCTCGGCTCCGCTTTTGGAAGGCACTGGAAGTTCTTTTCCCAGAGGCCCGGCTGGGCCCCCGGCAGACAGGAAGGGCTCGAGTTTCCCCTTCTTCCGGAAATGTGCGGTGGGATGCGGTGAGGCGCACGCCGGCTGTCCAAGGCCGGCTTCTGCAGAAGGGGTAGGGGACCCCCGAGCAGCTCGGCGCCGTGGAGGCTGCCCCGGGGTGGGAGAGGGGCTGTGACTTGAGAGGGGCTATGCCCGAGAACCTAAGGAGCAGCGCGATGCGGAGTGGAGAGTTTTGGAGGGAAATGTTAGGTGTACATTCTCTGTTCCCAGGAAGCCGCGGGTTAAGGGCCCTTTTCTGGGGTGCTTTGAGTGGGATCCGTTTGGGTGTGTGTGAGGACCGAACCCTGCCCAGGGCGGACTCGTATCCAGAGCTAGCCACCCATGGGGCACACGCGTGCCACCTGTGTCCCCACGCCTGGGTGCCCGTTCTAATTCGGCGTGTGTGTGTGTGTGTGTGTGTGTGTGTGTGTCTTGGAGCGCTCCTAAGACGAATTCCCTGGTTCTTTTGAACCCGGCAATGGGAGCCCAGGTTTGGAGCCTCACTTGCGAACTGGTTGCTGAGCTGGTCCCGGTCTTTTCTCCCAGTGCCTGCTTGCCCCGTGCATCTGTTCAGTTTCATTGTCTCTCTCTGGCTTTTCCCTGCTCACCCTCCTCCTGCCCACTTTTCCGTCCCCTGTGTCCCTTGGAGATGCACAGTCAGGACGCTAGGCGACAGCTGGACTTCCGGAAAGCGTGCCGGCTGTGGTTAAGTCCTCTGCCGATGAACAGATAAATAGGACAGCAAGTAGAGCCTCTAGGTTTGGTGCTGCCTCCGCCTTCCCGTACCAGTGCTGTTCCAGTCTGCGACCTGTGTGAGATCCTTGGAAGTGCTCCCTGATGGTCATTAGCCAGTGTCCTTGGTCGCTGCTCCTGACGTTCATGGCCAGCCTCTGCTTTTGAAGTTCAGTGGTTCGCCACTGAGTTTGGTGGGACCCTCTCTGTTCTTGGGGCCCGCAGGTCTGCAGCCTGTGCTGAGTCAGCACTACTCACAAGGTGAGCGATGCCTGATACGCATTTGCACAACATGAGTGTGCCGTGGTCAGCCAGCCCAGGAGCTCAACCTCACCCAGAGTGCAGGTAGGGAGGGGGCCCCGGGGTGGGGAGTCAGCCCTGAGAGCAGCTGGGGGAAGACCCATGAGCCCCGTAAATGAGGCATGGGGTCTCTTCTAAAGAACTGTCATGATGGCACCCCTGGTTTTGGGGGTGACCCGTGCTCTGAGGTCAGGAGTGCTGTCCCTGCAGGGGGAAGAGCAGCCTGGTACCTGCCCATCTGGTGTAGGGGTGTGGGAGGGCACCCGCGGGGGTTAGTCCAGGCCTAGCTCCCCAGGGGCTTAGCCCTATACAGGGAACAGAAAGGGAGGACCAGCTGATGAATAATTTAAAAGGCACAGAGTGGAGGTTTCCAGGGGTGCACATTGGCACTGGGCGCCTCTCTCGGATCCTGCAGCCCAGCTCCCCTATGTCTTTCCTGTCCTTTCTCTTTGTCTGCAGCCTGCCGCTCTGATGCCGAAGGGGAGGCGGGGAGTGCCACACTTGGATGCCCGCCTGGGCTTGCCCACCTGCCTCTGGCTGGAGTTCGCCGGGCTCTTCTTACTGGTCCCCTGGGTCATGGGCCTGGCAGGGGCAGGTGGGCCTGAGGCCCAGCATCCAGGGGGGCTAAGCTGGGCTGTGCACTTGCACAGCCGGGCCGATGAGAGGGAGGAGAAGACCCTGGAACAGCGGGCAGACGCCCTGGCGCAGGCAGCAGGCCTCGTGAATACCGGACGCATCGGGGAGCTCCATGGGCACTACCTCTTTGTCCAGCCCGCCGGGCACGGGCAGGCCGTGGAGGTGGAGGCCGTCCGGCAGCGGGCAGAGGCTGCACTGGCCGGCCACGAAGATGTGCGCTGGCACTCAGAGCAGAGGCTGCTAAAGCGGACCAAGCGCAGTGTCCACTTCAACGACCCCAAGTACCCCCAGCAGTGGCACCTGGTGAGTCCAGACCCGCGGTTTCCAGGGGAAAGTTTTTTCTGGGCCACTTCTCCGGAGGCGGGGCTTCTGGCTGTGTCCCTGTCCCATTGCCCCCACCGCTCCCCTGAAGGAGCGCATCTGCAGGCGTGGCTGCTGGGGTTCGCCCTCAGCCCCTGCCGTCCCTGTACACCCGGCCCTCGTGTAGGCAAGTTCCACGATCGCAGATTCAATCCACCACAGACAGAAGTTTTTTGGGGGGAGAACCGTGTCTGTACTGAACGCATACAGGGGTCTTCGGAAGTTTGTAGAAAATGTGCATCTTGAAAACTGCATGGATTTCCAAATTCTGTATAGCAAGATGAACCTTTAAAAAAATGATTTATTTAAAAGACACATAGAAAGAGAGAAAGAAGTCTTCCATCCCTTGGTTCACTCCCCAAATTGTTTCAGCGGCTGGAGGCTGAAGCCAGGAGCCAGGAGCTCCATCCAGGTCTCCCGCATTGTGGCAGGGGCCCAGATGTTTGGACCATCTTTCCCTGCTGTCCCAGGGAACTTGATGGGAGCAAAGGAGCTGGGACTTAAACTGGCACTCTGATATGGGATGCCGGCCTCTGAAGCAGCAGCTTAACCTGTCATGCCACACCACCAGCCCCTAGAGATAGCTGGATTTTTTTTTAAAGATCTATTTAATGTATTTGAAAGAGTGACAGAGAGAGGGAGAGACAGAAAGAAAAAGATTTTCTGTCTGCTGGCTCACTCCCCAAATGGCCGCAATGGTCAGGACTGGGCCAGGCCAAAGCCAAGAGCCTGAACTCCCGTGGGGTCTCCCACAGGAGTGGCAGGGACCTGAGCACTTGGGCCATCGTCTGCTGCTTTCCCAGGCATCATTAAAGATGGAGCAGAAGCAAAGCAGACAGGATTCACACAGGTGCCCCAGTAAGGGGTTGCCAGCATCAATGCCCACAGCACTGGGCCCTACACACACCTTTTAATGCCACTTTCCATAAACTTTCCAAAAGGATCCTGGCACAGGCAGTTTTTCCTTGTCATCATTTCCTAAGCAATGCAGTTTACAACGGTCATTTACCCTGTCCCAGAAGGGTGTGTTAGAAGACTATAAATGGATTCTATGGAAATAAGTGGCCTTTTGTGTGAGGGGTTTGTGCGCCCACGGGGAGCAAGGCAGCTCTAGAAACCTGAGCACTGTGGCCAAGCCGCCAGGCCCACGTTCCCTCTGCAGGTGCCTTGCGGCAAGCCGTTCCTGCCTTCTGCTAAACCTTTCTCAGTTTCTCCATCTGTAAAAGGGATTGTAACGTCCCTACCTCATAGAGTCATCGTTAGGATCAGTGAGCTTACATGCCCTTACACGCTGTTCTCTTCGTGATAACGAGTGACGCTGTTCTCTTCGTGATAACGAGTGACGCTTTTCTCTTAGTGATAACGAGTGACGTCAGTGGCACGATGATTCTGCTGTGCAGCCTTTTGGCCTAGCCACCCTTGCAGCCTGAGGCAATGGAGACCAAGGCGATAGCAAAGCTCCCCCATACCCCTCTTTGTCCCCACCCAGACCCGTGGGCCTGCAAGCTCTGTCCGCCTCTTTGGTGGAGAGTGGGGTCGGGGGGGGAGAGGGGCTGCCGGCTGTAATTCTGCCTCTCTCTGGGCCACCTGTGTGTCGCTGCACTCCCGCCTTGCCGTCTCCTCTACAGAATAACCGGCGGAGCCCCGGCAGGGACATCAACGTGACGGGTGTGTGGGAACGCAATGTAACTGGGCGAGGGGTGACAGTCGTGGTGGTGGATGACGGAGTGGAGCACACCGTCCAGGACATTGCGCCCAACTACGTAAGTGCCCAGAACAGCTGGCCCCACCCACATCCTACTTCCTGACGTGGCCACACTCGGCCCCTCCCAAGGCTTGGGGGGAGGGCTGGACTCCCTCTCCCCCAGCCAGCATTCGCAGCAGGTGGCTCCCAGGCTAAGAGGTCCTTCCTGCTTCCTGTTGTTCCTCCCCGGGGAATGAGGAGTGGCCCCTGCCAGCAGCTTCCCTCCTGGCAGAAGTTCTGAGTACCTGCCTTCGCTCTAAAGCTCGGCCGTGGGCAGCCCTAACTGGTTTATTTATTTATTTGAATCTGAGAGTTATACAAAGAGAAAGAGAATCAGAGAGAGAGAGAGAGAGGTCTTCCATCCGCTGGTTCACTCCCCAGATGGCTGCAATGGCCAGAGCTGAACTGATCCAAAGCCAGGAGCCAGGAGTGTCTTCCAGGTCTCCGACATGGGTGCAGGGGCCCAAGGACTTGGGCCATCTTCCACTGCTTTCCCAGGCCATGGCAGAGAGCTGGATTGGAAGTGGAGCAGCCGGGACTTGAACCGGCGCCCACATAGGATGCCAGCACTGCAGGCGGCGGCTTTACCCATTACGCCACAGCATCGGTCCCCTAATTCACTTTCATCTGGGATTACCAAGCCGTGGGGCCATCTCCTGGGCACATTTCTATTTCAGGCAAGAGAGAAGCTGGCTGTGGCACTTCTGTGTTTCACCTCTGCATTCTGTGACTTTGTCTTTATGGCCCATGTGGTTTGCAGAGACGTGGGCCCACTGCCCCAGCTTGGAATCCCCGACTCCCACTTCTTGTTTCTCCCTGAGCTCCAGGACCTAACCCCTAGGACCAGTGAGTGACCCTATGTCACCCCTCCCCAATATTTCAGAGCCCAGAGGGTAGCTACGACCTCAACTCCAATGACCCCGACCCCATGCCCCACCCAGACGTGGAGAATGGCAACCACCATGGCACGCGGTGTGCGGGAGAGATCGCTGCGGTGCCCAACAACAGCTTCTGTGCAGTGGGCGTGGCGTACGGCAGCCGCATAGCAGGTGACTAGCACTTCCTCCTGAAACGCCTCCTTCCCACCCTTGACACACACACTAAAGCAAAGTGCAGCTTATGCCAGACGGCACAGATCGAAGGACAGGGCGGGTCATTGATTGGCTTCAGTGCAGGGGTGTTTCCAACAGGCCCCGGTGTTTAAGGCAAACAAACATGGAATTGCTGGTGATGTGGGCCGGAAGTCCCGTGCCCCACAGCTCCGCTTTTCTGATCATGGTTATGTCACAGCTCCTTGCACTTGGCTCCGCTATGCTTGCATTGCCCTCATCCACAAGCTGCTTCCTCGGATTCTTCATGCCCCAGCTCTGCAGCCTTCAGTCCTGCTGTCATGGTTGCCCTCTGTTCTTCCACAGAGCTGAGCAGCCCTGCCCACCTCCTGCCCACCTCCCCGTCTGCCCCTGAGATGGATCTGTGTCCCTTTGTGTCCCAGCCCTAGTCCGTTGGGGCACAGGTCCAGGAATGAATGGAGTTGCCCTCGGTGTTTCCTAGTAAGCGCTTAGGAACCCTTCAGGCCAAATCGGCTGACTGTATTTCTCCTACACTCCAGCAGAGGGCAGTATCCCCCTGAAAATGAGACTACAGAGGGCTCTAGCAACCTCCAGGGTCCAAGACCCTGTGAAAATGCTCCATTTGGCCCTACACAGTCACAGGGATGTGACCCGACCCGTTTTAGAGGACGAAATCTGGCATTCACAGGAGGAGGTGTGGTAATGGTGCCATTTATGGAGCTCCTTTTGTGTGTCAAGGACAGCACTAGATGTTTTAGATGGGATCATGGGTGGAGATAAGAGGGGAATTCTGCCTTAGGCTAGCCTGTGACTCTCCACCAGACCTCATGATCATTAAAGCGCAAGTTCCAGTGTTTGTTAGGTTAAGATGTATTTGCAGACAAGTTACGCATGTACGTGGCATAAAAATTGAAGAAGTAGAGGAGCCCACTGGGAAGAGTCGGCCTCCCGCATGTGGCTTCACCACCCTGTCCCCCTGTGGCCTGCTGCTTGTAGACCAGCATCACTGAGGGGCTGCGGTGACCCCCATGCCTAGGTATCCGGGTGCTGGACGGACCGCTCACAGACAGCATGGAGGCGGTGGCGTTCAACAAGCACTACCAGATCAATGACATCTACAGCTGCAGGTGAGGGGCACCAGGCTGGCTCGGGCAGGGCCCAGCAGGGGTCTGCTGGTTGGGTTCAGGTCATCCATTATCCTCATTGATACACATCCCCAGGCTTCAGCCCCTGGCACCCCAGTAGTCAGGTTGTCACGTGGGAGGAAGTGGGCTTTCCTCTCCAACCACAGGGGGCCGAATGTGCAGTGCCAGCCCCCACTGCCTGAACGCGTGCACCTGCAGCTTGAGGTACAGCTGTGCTGGGCTGGACACAGCGGCAGGGATGGCCCTGTTCCTGTACCGCCCTTAAACCCATCACGTTGTCCCCAAGGTGTGCTTCCACTTAGAGAAAGAATAGCGAGCTCCCCAGCTCAGGAACCAAGAACTCATCAAAATTGAAAACATCCTTGTCAAGCCTGGCGGTAGACGCCCAGAGCAGGGGAGGCGGGACCCTGGTCCTCTGCCCCGCTCTTTGCTGTCTCCTGGTCCCCGAGACATGGGAAGTGACTTCTCGGGCAGGATCGGGCAGTCCTAACCGGGGACCTTTCCAAGGAAAACCATGGCCTTTTCCACTCTGGAGAAGGACTGGCCCCTTGAATACCTTGTCTTAAAATCGTGCAGTCCTGAACTGGAGCCCTTGGGAGAAGAGGAAGAGCTCCAGGGGCAGGCGAGCTGAGACTGGGAGACTCTGGGTGCACAGCTCCGCCTGGCTCTGGCCTCATCACTGGGCTTTTCTCTACAGCTGGGGACCAGACGACGATGGGAAGACAGTCGACGGCCCCCACCAACTTGGAAAGGTAGGTGGGGGCCGGCAAAGGCTCTCGGAGCCCAGGGCACCCTCCCCGGTCAGCACCACCGCAGCTACTACAAGCTGGACTCGCATCCCTCGCCGCAGTACAGGATGCGCGCCTCCCAGCCCACCTGCTTCCTTTCGGGAAGACTACACCTGACCTGGGGCCGTGGGGCAGGGGCGCCGGCTCTCGGAGAGAGATGGGGCAGCTTTGTGGCTATTTCCCTTGGAGCTTGTGCTTGGCGCCCTTGCCACTCATCTGATAAGCGAATGCATCCATGAGATGTTCAGCTCCCTCTCCACCTGCGTCTGCCTTTAAGTCTCCTTCCCCCACGCCCAGAGCCCTTCCGGCCTTTTGTCGCTTGCTTTCCAGTGAGGGAGGAGAGGGTGACTGGCCTGGTAATAGCCACCTCTCCTGAGCCGCTCGGCTGAGAGCCTGACTCTTGCTACCCAGGCTGCCTTGCAACACGGGGTGATGGCTGGTCGCCAGGGCTTTGGGAGCATCTTTGTGGTAGCCAGCGGCAACGGGGGCCAGCACAACGACAACTGCAACTATGACGGCTACGCCAACTCCATCTACACCGTCACCATAGGTAGGGCCCGGGGTTCGGGGCCGTGGGAGGGTTGTGTGTGTCCTGTTCAGCTCCAGTCTCTCTGCGCATGTGAGCGTGATCATCTCTTCTTCTGAGATGGAACTAGCCCAGCTCCCTGGAGTCCCGCCCATCTGCCTCCATCCCACCTGCAACTGGCTAGGCCTCTGCTCTGGCCTCTCTGCCGTGGGCCACACACCTCCTGCCCGAAGCCTCCCGTGATTCCCATTCACCTAAATCCAGTGCCCTGTGCTTACCTGTGCCCCCAGTCCCAGCATTCGCCACCTGGCTCTGCACTTCCTGCCTGGCTTTAGGCTGCCTGACCTTAGGCTGCCTGACCGTCTGTTTCCTCCTGTGGCCTTTGCATCTGGCCCTGGTGCCTGGTGCAGTGCGTGACTCCCGGTGGATGCTTGCTAAAGGAAGAGGCCTAGCAGTCAGGAGCCCCTGGGTGGACCTGGAGGCTGTCTCAGGCACAGGGTACCTTCTGCCGCGTGAGGCTGCCAGTTCAGATGAGGGCCGAGGGCACGCCGGGGCACTTGAGCCACACGGATCCTTTTTATTAAACTCAAGCCAGCCCCCAGGGTGACCGTGACGCCCCCAGGCCCTCCACGGGGCCAGCTCCTCCCCACGCTCTCACTTGCCCTCCTCCCTGCCAGGTGCGGTGGACGAGGAGGGGCGGATGCCCTTCTACGCAGAGGAGTGTGCCTCCATGCTGGCGGTCACCTTCAGCGGAGGGGACAAGATGCTGCGCAGCATTGTGAGTCCTCCCGGCCCCTCCCGTCGCGGGACTTTCCTCTCCTCGCTGCTCGCCGCCCCCTTAACATGCTTTATGACACGTTGGGTGTCGCATCTTCGCAATGTCTTCCTTTGGTAGAACTTGGACTCTGGCTAAGCTGTGGGCTTAAAAAGATCATTCCACTGCTCTTCGGTCCTTACGTAAATACTCTGAATTCCATCCTGTGCATCCTCAGTGGAGCCAGCGGCTGTCTTTAGGGGGTGGGCGGGACAAGGAGTTAGAGGAACTTCTCATGTCAGCCGAGAGGACCTTTTCCACGCAGCTATAATTGGAGCCACGGCAAGCAGACTGGAGCAGGGGAGGGCGGTCTCCAGCCTCTGGCACCCATCTGAAGAGCTCAGGGCCCCGGCCGGGTTTGGCTCCCTCCCAGCAGGTTTAAGCCAGGTCTCCCAGAGCTCCTATGGGGCTAAGCAACTCCAGACAAGAGCTGGGCTCCAGCCAGCGGGTGTCAGATTTCTCCAGTGGCTGGGCTGGGAGGTCTCTCTTGAGACCACTGGGAATTCGGCTGCTTTGTCTTCCTGCTGGGTTAAGAAGTTTGTTTTCCAAAACATGGAATTTTGTTGTGCCAATGAGTGACTTACAGTGAACACAGTGTCCTGAGGCCCCAGCCGGTTGACCCCTGCTCCCTGCCCTCCTGGAACGCACTGAAGTGAACAGGCAGGGGAGGCTTTGCTCTGCATGCTGGGGTCTGTGCGCCTGAGGCCGGGCTGCATTAAGAAGGGCAGGGACCCCTGAGCCCCTCACCCCCAGCAGAACTCTGAGAGCCCAGCTCACCCCTGCCCAGGCAGGGGCCTAAGGAGGTGCCATAACAGAGCTGTCACTCTTGATCCGTGGCACCTGGCTTTTCTCCTTCAAAGTCAGCTCAGATCCTCACCCCCACCCCCCCGCCTTCCATCTGAAGCATAATCTGTCCAGAAATAAAAAGAGAGTTTGTTTAGCCAAGTTCCCATCCTTGGAATGTTCTGGCCCCAGAAAACTGCTGCCAGTTTCTGTGCACTGACCAGGGCAGCGGGTGGAGCTGTCCTTCTGAGGGCAGGGGCTGGGGGCTTCCCTGGGCTTCTCTGGGACTGGGCAGAGCTCCTGCCACCGTGGGTGAATATGTGGGCTTCACAGCTATACACTCGCCTGTCATCGTGAGGCTGTGTCCTCAACAGGAAACAAGCAGTCTGCTTCCCAGCTTGGCACAGGCTTCTCCCTCTCATTGCCACTGCAGCTTGGAAAGTGCTTTTCCCTTTTCTTGTGGGAGCGCGTGGGGTCTGGGAGAAGCTGCAAGTCTGGGCAGCAGCTCTGACAGCCGGAAGGGAAGTAATGAGTACAATGGAGAAGGGGCGGCTCTTGGCAGAAGTCAGCATCCTGGAGTCTGACCCAAAAAAGAATTCTGGAAGAAAGAAATTCTCTGGTCATAGCAGTGGCACCGCGTGCCAAGGATCTGGGTGCAACCGCAGGGAGCGCATTTAGACAGGGACCTCCTCTGCTGGGAAGCTCCGTGGCTGTCGAGGCGTGAAAAGAACCTGGTGCTGGACAGACACCCGGCCCCAACCCCCTCTCCCGCCCCCAGCTCAGAAGCACAGGTAGACCAGGGGGCTCATGAAAACCAACCTGAGGCACCCAGCCCAGAGCAAAGAGGCAGCTTGTCCCATCCAGGTCTGTAGAGCCAGGCAGGCAGGCCATGAAGCTGAACCTGGGGGTATGCAAGGACACAGCCCCCTCCCTGGGAACACACTGCCAGGGTTTGCCCTCGTCACTCAGCTGCCAAGTTGCATTTCCTTGCCTGGTGCCGTCACTGTTGTCCCAGCTCCAGCTGGGGCCCAGTAGCTCTCCTGGCTTGGCTTGGTTGTGGGGGTTGCAGGGTTGGGTAGAGAAGTTGGGGTTGGGAGCACAGATAGTAGAGGATCGGGAAACTCAGCTGTGCCGAAGGCCTCCCGCAGGTCTCCGTCTCCCCCTCCCCCTTCGTTTTAGTATCAGTGCCTCCGTCTTCAGAGGGTCGAAGGCCTCTTCGGTCCTGCCCTGCTATTAGGCCCCCCTCTGCTCAGAGTCAGCTCTAACAGAGGAAGGCCCAGCCTGACGGCCTTGTTCTGAGGACCTGGCCTGCACCACCCGCTCTGTGTCACCCTGGAACTAACCACTGCCCACTCCCCAGGTGACCACTGACTGGGACCTTCAGAGGGGCACTGGCTGCACCGAGGGCCACACGGGGACCTCGGCTGCGGCGCCCCTGGCAGCCGGCATGATAGCCTTAATGCTGCAGGTGCGGCCTTGCCTCACGTGGCGGGACGTCCAGCACATCATCGTCTTCACAGCCACCCAGGTAGGACACCGGCAGTAGACCGCAGAGTCCAGGGAGCAGGGGGTTCAGGTGGTCAATGCCCCAAATGCCGGGCACCTGCTCCCTTTCAGAGCTGCATGTGTAAAGGGCAGGGATCCCACAGAGACCCCAAGCCTAAGCTCACTTGACCTAAACTCTGCGGTGGTCATTTTGCTGGCAGAAGAGAGCTCTGGCCAGGTACCTGCACTCGAGCTACTGCCTCCTGACCGCTCTCTAGAGGCCAGCCCTGGCTGGTGACATGGTTCTTTGACCCGTTGTCCTAGCTTTCCTCGGGGAATCCATTCGCCGTAGCCTCAGTGGGAGAATCTGGGCTGGGTCATCAGCTGGGTGAGGTTGAATTCCCACTGGCGAGGCCTGAGACTAACAGGGACCTCTGTCCTTTCAGTATGAAGATCGCCATGCAGACTGGGTCACCAACGAGGCAGGGTTCAGCCACAGCCACCAGCATGGTTTCGGCCTGCTCAATGCCTGGAGACTTGTTAATGCAGCCAAGGTGACCGGGGACAGCAGGCAGGGTCCCTGTGTGGAGTGACTGAGGGAGGGGGCCAGATGCTTGGAACACTGCCTGGCACACCAGCAGTGCTTAATAAATGCATTCGTGTCGTTGATTCGACCCCATTTACCCTCATCCCCGCCGACCTACAACTGGCAAAGCAGGCTCAGTGCTGCCGGTGAAGCTTCCATACTGGGGGCAGAGAGTGAGCGGGGGACAGCTGGGACAGGTGGTGCATCGTGGGGCAGGTGCTCCGTCGCAGGCCACCAGCAGGAGTCTCGGGATGGAGAGGAAGTGATCAGGACAGGAGACGCCGACAGAGACGTGGCTGGAGGAGCGCCGGTGGTTGTGACCCTGCCTCTCCTCTCCTAGGTCTGGACCTCTGTCCCCTACTTAGCTTCCTACGTCAGCCCTGTGATAAAGGAAAACAAGGCCATCCCGCAGACGCCCAGTGCCCTGGAGGTCCTGTGGAATGGTACGTCCGCAGCACGAGGGGGTTAATCCACAGTCCAGCTGGGGTGGGAAGAGGGAAAGTTACACTCGCCCTCCCTGCCGCCTTCCACCCCTTCCTGGAGGAGCTGAGCTCCGGCCAAACCTGTGCAGTTTGCTTTGACCATTTTAGGACATGTTGCTGCTTCTGAGTTGGCTGGCCCCCGGCTGCTAAACAAGACCTTTCTCCCGAGTTACTAGTAGCAGGAGGAGCTGCTGAGCAACCAGCTAGCGAGGCGGCGGGAGGAGTGGGTTTGGGACTCAGGACACGGGCAGCAGCTGAAAGCCCTCCTGCCACTTCCATGCCAGGTCTAGCCGGGCAACTCCACCCGGCCCAGCGTCTTTGGGAAGTAAAGGAACCCCTTCCTTGGGTTCTCAGGCTTGTCTAGTGTGGGGTGGGGCAGAGCAGTGCACAGCGTTCCTGTCCTCTGTGTCCACCCCGCCTCCACGGCACCCTGGGTCGCCAGGACTGTCTGCAGGGGTGAGAAGTGTCTCTTGTGCTAACAGGGAAGCTGGGTGGGATGCCACGCCTGTGCCAGAGGCCTCTGCGTGCTTCCCAGAAGTCTCCCTACCACTGCCTCCTCTGCCTCCTTAGAGGAATTTTTTTTTCTTTTACCCTTGAGAAGTTTTGACAAGCAGAGTCATTCACTACTTTTTATGAAGGTTGAAAAATCTCACGCATGGTGTCCAAACCAGAGCTCTGTCCTCACTCGTCCTGCCCTCCTGGGGAGTGACCGGACTGGAGCCGTGGCAGGAGGAGCGATGGCCAGAGGTAGGGACTGAGAGAGGAGGGCAGCTTCCTCCTGGGGAGGTTTGCAGAGAAGGGTTGGCTTGTCCATCTCCCTCAGGGCATCCAGCCCTTGCCCGGGTGCCCTCCACGTGGAAGGAGCCCTACGGGCCCAGTCCTTGTGTTTGCCCTAAAAGGAAAGCTGTCTTGGAAAGGGCATAAAGCAGCAGCCAAGGCAGAGAAGGTCAGTTACATTCTAGAATGCGGTTCAGTTGGAGCCCCTGTACTCATGTACCACGGAGGTAAAATGCCTTTCAACTTTGACCTCTGACACAGGCTGTTTCCTGTTGACTTTGAGCCCTTGGGTTCTTCCCGGCTCTGTCATCCTCTGCTTCCCAGTACCCAGGGACAGTTGCCTCAGGATGTCTGGCGAACCTCCCTAGCTGTTGAGGCATCTGGCACCTGCTGTGTGTCAGGAGGAAGCAAGAGGAAGAAGGACCATCTGTCCTGGGCAGAGGAGAGCACATGGGGCCAGGGCAGGGTCAGGCTGGCGAGATCAGGGGAAGAGTCCTGGAGCTTGGTTGGCGGAGCCCCTCGTCTCCCTGGGGAGCAGCAAGCAGGACGGCTCCTAATTTCAGAGGCCAGCAAAACTGTCCTCTGCCCTCTTACCACCATTCCCCGTGAGCAGACGGGACAGAAGGTATAAGCTTATGGGCTCACCTGCAGAGGGAGGGCAGTAAGCCCAGTCAGTAGCGCTGAGCACCTGGGTCCCAGACTGGAAGCCTTGTCCCCTCCAGCTAAGATCTGGAGCTCCAGTGTCTGGGGCTGCAAAGTGAGCTTCCCAGAGGGCAGTGAGGCTGAGCATCCCCCTGATAGAAGAGGAGGTGACACCCTCGAAGACCGCAGGGCTGCAGTGTCTACACAGGGGACTTTCCGCCCTCTTGGAAGTGTTCCCTGTCTGTGCCACTCAGTCAGGGGGTGCTGGCATTTCAGCCTACTGGACATTGTTTTCTAAGATTTATTTATTTTTTTGAAAGGCAGCGTGCTAGGGGTGAGGGGTGGAGAAAGAGAGATATCTTCCATTCTCTGGTTTACTTCCCAAATGCTCACAACAGCCAGGGTTAGGCTTGGCCAAAGCTAGGATCTAAAAATTCCATCCCAGTCTCCCACATGGGTGGCAGGAACCCAAGCACTTAAGCCATTACTGCTGTCTCTCTCTCTCTCTCTCTTTTTTTTTTTTTTTTGACAGAGTGGACAGTGAGAGAGAGAGACAGAGAGAAAGGTCTTCCTTTGCCGTTGGTTCACCCTCCAATGGCCGCTGCAGCCGGTGCACCGTGCTGATCCGATGGCAGGAGCCAGGTACTTCTCCTGGTCTCCCATGGGGTGCAGGGCCCAAGCACTTGGGCCATCCTTCACTGCACTCCCTGGCCACAGCAGAGAGCTGGCCTGGAAGAGGGGCAACTGGGACAGAATCCAGCGCCCCGACCGGGACTAGAACCCGGTGTGCTGGTGCCGCAAGGTGGAGGATTAGCCTAGTGAGCCACGGCGCTGGCCACTGCTGTCTTCTAAGGTGCACATCAGCAGGAAGCTGGTTGGAAGCACAGCACCCAGACCGGAACTGGCACTCTGACACGGGGTGCAGGTGTCCCAATCAGCGGCTAATCCACTGCACCATGGTGCCCGCCCAACTGCTACTGGACATTTACAATATGGCTAGTGTTTGGGGCCGGTGCTGTGGCAGAGTGGGTAAGCGGTCACCTGCAGTGCTGGCATCCCATGTGGGTGCTGGTTCAAGTCCCGGCTGCTCCACTTCCGATCCAGCTCTCTGCTATGGCCTGGGAAAGCAGTAGAAGATGGCCCAAGTCCTTGGGCCCCTGCACCCACGTGGGAGACCTGGAGGAAGCTCCTGGCTCCTGGCTTTGGATTGGCATAGCTCCGGCCGTTGTGGCCAATTGGGGAGTGAACCAGCATGGATGGAAGACCTCCTTCTCTGTCTCTCCTTCTCTCTGTGTAACTCTGACTTTCAAATAAATAAATAAATCTTTAAAAATAAATAAATAACTAAAATGAGGCTAGTGTGACCTTACCCATAATGAGTTTAAATCTAAACACCCACATTGGCCAGTGACTGCCATGCAGAGCAGCAACCTGAAGACAGGTGTGTGCTTCTCCACACCAACAGGAGCTGTGGGGAAACAAGCGTGGGCCACTTGGTGCCTGTGGATCCCACTGTGGGTCTGGAGTCTCTGCCAGGGGGTGGGAGGGCGTCACGCACAAGGGAGTGTGTGTGTGCAGAGTGCCGAGCGCCTACTCGCACCTGCCTTTTCGTGCTTGCGTGCAGTTGGAGTGAACTCACCTCTGCCTGCACAGTGAGGCCTGTTCTTCACCGCTCGGCGTCTGCCCCCTTCACCCCACTCCCTCCCTCCCTGCTGACTCCTCCTCCTGCCTGCAAATGCAACCCCTGCCAGCCTCCAGCCAGCAGCCTTGCCAGATGCACGAGCTAAAACAGCAGCAGCTCGCTGTTGCCAGGGCCGAGCGCCTGCCTCCCTCGCTGCGCCCTTTTCCTGGGGCTGGCTGGGGGTTCATCACTCTTACCCTTCTTGTTCCTCTGCCCCTGAAGAGGCCTGTCTGCAGCTCGCTCCTCGCCAGGCTCCTGGGACCTCCTTTGTCCACAGCACTCTGCTGGCTTCTCTCCCCAACATGCTCCTTTCCCTTGGGCATCTCCCAAGCTTCACTCCGGACTTTCTTCCCTCCCCTGACACTTGCCCCCCAGCAGTGCTGCTGTGTTGATGACTTCAGTTCCCATCTCACCACAGATGCTTCCTTGTTCTACACCCTTGTTCTTTTGTTGTCATTAAGATTTATTTATTATTTATTTGAAAGAGTTACAGAGATGGAGGGAGAGGAGAGAGAAGGAGAGAAAATGAATGAATATTTTTCATCTACTCATTCACTCCCCAGATGGCCACAACGGCCAGGGCTGGCTGAGCCAGGTCAAAGCCAAGAGCCCAGAGTTTCCTCTGAGTCTCCCATGTGGGTGCAGAGGCCCAGCACTTGGGCCATTCTCTGCTACTTTCCCAGGTGCATTAGCAGGGAGCTGGATCGGAAGTGGAGCAGCCAGGTCTCTAACTGGTGCCCATATGGGACACCAGCTGTGCAGGCAGCAGCTCAACCTACACCACAATGCCAGCTCCTACACTCTTATTCTGATCCTGCACCAGTGAGAGGGTAGAGGTTGTCATGGTGTCAAACACAGCCCTGGCATCTTTGGGGACTGAGAGTTGAAAAAGACCCCAGTTTAACCAGAAGCTAAATAGTAAGTTGAGGATCATCACATCAGCTAAGACCTCAGTGTTTTGAAGGTGCCCAGCTCTGTCCTAAGTACTAGTTTACCGAATACTAGCCGAAATAATTCTGGGGCTCTCTCAAGCGTTGCCACGCACATTGCCGTCCACATCAGTGTGGAAATGGGTACAGCGTGCCACTATCTACATGGCTAGCAGAGATAAACGCTTCTTGTTGTATTTATTTGAGAGCAGAGAGAGAGCTCCCATTCACTGGTTCACTCCCTAAATGCCCACAATGGCCAGGACGGGGATGGGCTGAAGTCAGGAGCCAGGAACTCATAATCCAATTCTCCCACGTGAGTGGCAGGAACTCGATTATTTGAGCCATCACTGCTGCCCCCAGAGTCTGCACTGGCAGGAAGCTAGAATCAGGAGTGGAGCCAGGGCTTGAACCCATATATTCCTTTTTTATTTATTTATTTATTTTTTTAAGAGTTCTCTATTTGAAAGGCAGAGTTACAGAGGGGCAGTGGCAGAGACAGAAAGGTCTTCCATCTGCTGGTTCATTCCCCAGATGGCTGCAATGGCCGGAGCTGTGCTGATCTGAAGCCAGGAGCCTGGAGCTTCTTCCGGGTCTCCCATGTGGATGCAGGGGCCCAAGCCTGTGGGCCGTCTTCCACTGCTTTCCTAGGCCGTAGCAGAGAGCTGGAGCAGAACTGTCGCAGCGTACTGGAGATGTGTGGTTAGAGCTGGGAAATGAACCCCTGCCTCTATCTCTGCTCTTTCCCAAACCTCACCAAAGAAAGAGTGAAGGAATAAAAACGAGATGAGCACAAGGACAAAGATGAGAGAGGAGGCCATGGCAATCAGAGATTTCATCGCATTCTTGGAAGGTGGGAAAGGAATAGAAATGTGAGCAGGGCCGAGAAAACTGCAGACCGAGTACCTGCCGGGGGCGGCGCAGACACAGCCCACCCGGGCCACTCAGACGCCGTGCCATGCGCTGCAGAAGATGGGGGCGAGGTAGGCGGCCACGTCAGGGCCCCGACTGGGCAGGGAGTGAGGCACCAGCTGGACAGAAGCTGGGAGTTCCTCCCCGCCAGCCAGCCGCTGGTATCCCAAAGCCCCAGTGGCCAGGAGGCTGGAAGAGCCCTCTCCAGAGAAATGGGTCCCCTCCTCGGCAGACGACAGTGCCACGCTCCACGGGGCTGCTCCCGTGAGAGACCCAGGGCCAGCCAGGGAAACCCACGCTGAAGTGAGAACAGCTCCGTGCAGTTAGCACTTCCCACCTGCTTTTGAAGATAACAGAACACTGACCATTTCGGGGAAAGCCCTCCAAGATTCTTGTGGGGGAATGAGAAAGTTATTTTCAAGCAGTAAGACACACCCAGCCTGACTATTAACTGTGTGGGAAGGTAGAATGAGGACGCTTTCAGACCTGCAAGGTCGTCCTCAGGATCCATTTGTCTGGAAACTACTCGAAGATGTGCTGCTCTGTAGTGAAAGGCAAAAAAACAGAAGAGGTAGGAAGAGGGTCTGACATTGTGGTGCAGCAGGTTAAGACCTCCTACTCTATCTACCTCACTGATGTCCCGTATCAGAGTGCCAGCTGGGAGCCTGGCAGCTCCACTTCAATCCAGCACCCTGCTAATGCACCTGGGAAATCAGCAGAGGATGGCCCATGTGTTTGGGCCTCTGCACCCATGTGGGAGACCTGGATGGGGTTCCTGGCTCCTAGCTTTGACCTGGCCCAGTTCTGGATGTTGGGGCCTTTTAGGGAGTGAACCAGTGGATGGAAGATGTCCCTGAACCAGTGGATGGAAGATGTCCCTTTCTCTCTCTAGCTCTTGCTTTCGCTCAGCCTTTCAAAGAAATAAATCTTGGGGGGAGGGAGGAAGTACAAAGCGGGGAGGGGTCAGAACCCAGAACCCAGGTAGGAAGTGAAGAAAGGTCCCGGTGCAGGAGCTGCGCAGCAGATGGGACTGGGACAGAAGGCTCTAGAGGGCTTCTCTGAGAGCAGGTGGCGTTAGGGGAACCCTGACCTCTTCACTTAGAAGAAAAGGGAAGAAGCTATGTGAAGAAGTTAATATGGTTTATTTGGGAAGAATTAGTGATGGGGCATGAAATTGAAATAAACCAAAAACCAGGGAGATGATGAAACCTCAGAGGGGAGAGCAGCAGACTGTTCAGGAAGTGAAGTAGTGCTGCGTGCTGCTTGGCTCAATTCAGTGTAACGCGGATCAGGTCCCCGCGAGGTGAGCCAAGTGCAGACCTGTCTGGACACTGATGTACTGATGTGGTGTTGCGAGGCCGTGAGGCGGGCTGGCCGGGAGCTGTGAGCACGTTGTGCCAAATCCTCGTCTGCCACGGTCGAAAACTGATGAAAGACGTCTCAAATTGATAACCCCTAAAATAGCTGTCCTGGTGGGTCCCTGAAGAAAGCATTAGGACGTGTTTGCTTCCAGAGTGGATCACAGACAGGAGGGGCTGAGGAGGGAATGGTCCTGTTTCCTGATGAGCACACAGCTTTGTTTAAAGCCACACACAGAACACTGTTCTGATAGAAAGAAGATGCCAGGGATGACTGCGAGAGTATCCACAGTGGGCACAGACCGCTTCCTCGAGGTCTGCCTAGGAGGGATGAGAAATAGCTAATGCTTATAGACTAATTTAAGCATTTTACATATATCAGCTGAGTTAATCCTAGCAACTCCATGAATTGGGTACCGTTACTCTATTTTACAAATAAGGAAACTGTCTCAACTCTCACAGCTAATAAATGGCAGAGCTGGGATTTTAATCCAGGCTGGTTGGCTCTAGAGGCGGGGTAAGGAAGGGAGGAGTTGCGTTTGTCTTCCAGTTGTGATAGGAGAGTTGTAAGCAAGAAGGCGGATCCTTCGGTTGATCTGGCGTTTGGCTTTTGCCCAACATTGCTGTGAAAGGACAAGACAGTGCTGGAGAGGGAGCCACGAGGCCTTAGCTGGTCAGGAACAGAGGCTGGGGAGGCAGCCAGAGGGAGGGTGTTTTCAGAAAGAGGGAGACAGGTGGAACTGAGCACAGAACACGCAAGCACATGTGCGGGGCGACTTCAGAATATCCATGGGGAATGGGAGTAAAATATGTTTATTTTGGTGCAGAAACTCTTTGAAATCCACACAATTGTGCCATATTGCAATTATCCACGAACTTTTTGAAGATCTCTTGCACGGATGGATTTCAGACATTTTTGCACTAAAACTTTAAAATTTAGTTACTTACCTGAAAGGCAAAGATACAAAGAGAGAGAAACAAAACAGAGATCTCCCACATACCAGTTTACTCCCCCTAATGCCTGTAACAGCTCCAGGCCAAAGCCAGGAGCCAGGAACTCGATCCTGGTCTCCCGTGTGGGAGGCCGGGACCCACTGCCTCCCAGGTTACCCGTCAGCAGGAGGCTGGAATGGAGAACAGAGGTGGGACTTGAATCTAGGCACGGCAACATGGTGCCTATGACGTCACTGCCACACCAAACACCTGCCCCCAGAAAAAACTTCAGTTCCATTTTCCCAGGAACGTTTTGGAGTCCCCTCATACATACAGAGCTCTGAATTCATGGACATTCACCAGCATGTTAGCAGGAATTGTTGAATATTTTCTTGTTTTTACTTTTGCTCATCTACTTTTCTCATGTATCTTCAATCAGTCTGCATCTCGTGTATAATAAGACCCACCATGGAAGTTTCTAAACACCCATAAGTAACTCAGCCCCAGCTAATGACGAGGTCCAGGCTGTGGTCACAGATATGGGTGGCTGACATGGATGGAGAAAGGATTTTGAAGTCGAGGTGAAGAAGTGTGCAGTTAGAACACTGGGTAGGTGGGCCTCCAAAATGCTGGTATTGCAGTGGAGAAGGGGAGGTGGCACTCTCCAGTGACTAGTGAGGGAGAGCACAGAGGTGGGGAAGGACAGGAAGCGGTGTCGTAGCCTGTGAGCCTTCCTCCAGGCCCCGTCATCCGCAGGTGCGCCAGCTCACCCCTAGAGTGATCCGGCCTCTGCCAACTGTTTCTTTCCTTCCCAGGGCACTGTGTTTTTAACTGTGTGCTTGCTCGTTGGTCTATCCTAGCTCTCGTTTGCCTATTTAAAGTTTGTAAAGCACTTCCTTTGCTATGTCCTCTTCCTCCTGCCTCTGAGTGCCTCTCTGAGGTCTTTCGTCTATAAAGTGAAGGTAGTGCTCTCTGCTCTGTATATTAAATTAATGGAAGAATAAAAAAGGGTGTTGTAGAAAGATTTATTTCTCAGGATGGGCATTTGGTGCCGTGGTTAGGTACCGCTTGGGACACCCACATCCCACATCAAGCGCCTGGTTTTGAGTTCTGGTGTGCACCCTGGAGGGCAGCAGGTGATGAATAGTTAGGTCTCTGCCCGCCCACACAACCGTGTGGGAGGTTCATACCTAGTTCTGAGCTCCTGGCTTTGGCTTGACCTAGCCTCAGCTGTTGTGGGCATTTGGGGAAAGAACCAGTAAATGGAAGACATCTCTCTCCAACTCTGCATTTCAAATAAAATAAAAATAAGTAAAAAAAATTTTTTTTCAAAAAGATTTATTTCTCATTGCAACCTAATTTCTTAATAGTCCCCAGTTGAGTCTTCCACTTCATCAGTTTTGTGTTCAATTTTTTTCTTTTTGAAATACTCACAGATTCACAGGAGGTTGCAAAGAAAAGTCCCACGCACCTTTCTCCTGACGTTAATGTCTTGGGAATTGTAGTGCCATATCGAAACTAAGGAATTGGCGTTGGTGCGATCCATAGAGCTCATTCTGATTTCAGCAGCTCTGTATACACTGCACGCTTGTGTCTGTGTGTGCAGCTGTAATCGAGTTTCCCACAAGTGTAGTCTTGCGTAACCTCCAGCCACAGGACTCCTGTGTCAGCCCTTCATGCCCACGCCCATTCCTTCCTCTGCCCTGACTCCTGGCAGGCACCGCTGAGCTCCCGTTTGCTACACTGTGTCAGTCCCTGAGCATTGCCAAGGTGGAGCCATGTGGCGTGTGTCCTTTTGAGACTTGGCTTCTTTCTTTCTTTTTTTTTTTTAAGATTTATTTATTTATTTGAAAGTCAGAGTTACACAGAGAGAGGAGAGGCAGAGAGAGAGAGAGAGAGAAAGTCTTCCATCCGATGGTGCACTCCTCAATTGGTTCCAACAGCTGGAGCTTCTTCCGGGTCTCCTGTGCGGGTGCAGGGACCCAAGGACTTGGGCCATCCTCTACTGCTTTCCCAGGCCACAGCAGAGAGCTGGATTGGAAGTGGGGCAGCCAGGACTAGAACCAGCACCCATTTGGGATGCGGTACTTTAGGCCAGGGCGTTAACCCACTGCGCCACAGCACCGGCCCCAGCTTATTTCACTTGGCGTAATTTCCTTAAAGATTATCCACTTCAGTAGTTTTTTTAGATGAATTTTGTACTGTCTCCCATGCAAGTCTCACTCTATCTTTGCACATGCCCTTCCCCCTTCTAGAATACCCTCTGCCAACCCTCTGTACCAGTCTGTGTTCATTGCCGGCTGCAGTGGGTGGCTCACCACTCTGTGCCTACACCTATCTCTCTAGGTCTTTTTCCTGCATCAGCCATGAACCTTGTTTCATACCGTGTTCTGCTTGCGGGTAGAAGGCAGGGACCATGCCCGGCTTACATTCTGTTCCCAGCATCTAGGGCAGTGTCTGAAGCATAACTGTTGGGATGAATGAGTGAGTGAAGTCACTCTGTTAGGTTGTCATGTCCTGGCTCTGCCCTCAACTTGAGAGCAGAATCTGCATTTCATCTCCTAGCCAACACTGGGGCCCGCTGAGATCCCACGTGGGTGTTTGCCGGCCGCTTCGGGAGCAGGTGCCTTTGTGCACGTTGGGGTGAGGTGTGGGCTGGTTTCTCAGCTGCCCAGCCTGACTTCCCACAGTCAGCAGGACGGACCTGGAGATGTCGGGGCTGAAGACACTGGAACACGTGGCAGTCACAGTCTCCATCACTCATCCACGCCGCGGCAGCTTGGAACTGAAACTGTTTTGCCCCAGCGGCATGATGTCCCTTATCGGCGCGCCACGCAGCATGGACTCGTACGTATCCGATCACCCGCGGCCCGCGGCCCTCTGTCCGAGGAGCACCTTTGTAGGTGGTCACCGGCCCAGCCCAGCGGCCGCTGTGCCCTGGCTGTCTTTGGCAGCCATCCATCACCTGCTCGCCTGCTGTGTGCGGTGTGCATGTGCGCACTCGACCTGCGTTTCCTCTCACCTGCGTAAGAACTGCAGACTCTGTCACCTCCGCTCACAAAGGCGGGAACGAGTCGCAGAGCCAGGAAGTGCCCGAGAGTAAGGGTGAGCTAGGTCCGGGGGCCTCCCGAGCCCACAGTCTTCCCTGCACCACGTGGACACAGGCCCCTCGTTCCCTGAGGTCTCAGCAGCAGGGACAGCGCCTGAGGACCCTCGTGGCCCCCTCCCAGCTGCCCACAGTGCTTTTCCACGTCTGGCGGATGGGCAGGTGCTGTTTGCAGGAGCAGGGGCAGCACCGCCCACATTTCCTGCTTTGCTCCTTCCCCAGGGACCCCGGCGGCTTCAGTGACTGGACCTTCTCCACTGTGAGATGCTGGGGGGAGCGGGCCAGAGGGGTCTACAGGCTCGTGGTGAGGGATGTAGGTGAGTGCCCTGTGCCCCCCATCACCTGGCCCCTCTGCACCTCACAGTCCCCACACCTCACTTCCCCTTCCACGTGGAAGGCACAGGGTTGCCCTGGCCAGGAGGGTAGGCGCCCCCTGCAGACAATGGGCACTGGTGTCTTAGGCTGTGCATTGATACCACCCTTGTCTTCTTTGGAGAAGTGACTGATCCATTCTTCCTCAGGATAGCAACAAAAATTCCTTGTTGAACCACATTTCAAGTCCTTTCACATATAACCATCCTTCGGCGAGCCCTGGTAGGCAGGTAAGGGCAGGACTGATTGTCGCCGTTCTTTTTGAGAAACTGAAGCCCAGAGGTTTGCAGAGACTTGGCGTAAGGTCGCCGTGTCCGTGACACTGCAGCCTCAGGGGCCGCTGACCACCTGCAGTTCAGTGAAGAGCCCAGCCTCCCCGCTTCCGTCGAGTTAGGGATTCGCGAGACCAGTGGTTCTCAAACCTGTCTTTAATTTAGCAGAAAGGCCTTTTTTTCACCCAAGCAGACTCCTAGCTGAACCCGAAATCCGGGAGATAAAGACAAATTCCTCTGCCTCCGAGTACAGCCTGTGGCCCTCCCCTTCCCGTCCTGGGGCCCCCCGGGAGGCAGCCTGCAGAAGCCGGGGTGAGCGGGCCGCGCAGCTGCTGCAGCGGGCTGTGTAGGCTGAGTGCCTCGGGGTAGGGGTGCAGCCGGGCTCTGCTGTGTGTCACGGCCCACAGAGGGCATGGCTCACGCACTGCCCTGCTTGCCGCCCCAGGAGATGAGTCACTGCACGTCGGCGTCCTCCAGCAGTGGCAGCTGACCCTATATGGCTCTGTGTGGAGTCCGGTAGACATCAGGGACAGACAAAGGTGCGTCCAGCTGCACGTGTCAGGAGAAGGCAGCTCGTGGGGGATGGGCAAGAGGACCCCAGCTGTGCTCCCTGGGCTGGGAAGCCGCCTTGTACGGGTGGGAGTGTGGGTGGAAGGTGGCATGGGAAGCACCACGTAGGGCATCCTGGTCCCTTCCTGCCACACAGGCTGTTGGAAAGTGCCATGAGTGGGAAGTACCTGCACGACGGCTTCAGCCTGCCCTGCCCCCCCGGGCTGAAAATCCCTGAGGAGGACGGTTACACCATCACCCCTAACACCCTCAAGGTACGCAGACAGGCGCCCTGTGCTGGGAACCTGCTCCTCGGGTGACCAGGGTCCCAGCAGGGGTGTGGCAGCACCGCCCCTCCTCTAGTTGCTGTCTCAGGGGCCATCCTCGCGTGGGGAGTGGGCAGGGATGGCCCGGGGTGGGGGGCTTTCCGGAGTCAACACGGTAGGCTGAGAGAGGCTGTGGGCTTTGGGAAGCAGCCCCTGATAAGGGTGCTTGACTTTGCCCAGACGCTGGTGCTGGTGGGCTGCTTCACCATCTTCTGGACCGTCTACTACATGCTGGAAATGTATCTGAGCCAGAGGAGTGTGGCCGCCAGCTCGGCCTGTGGGCGTGGACCCTGCCACTGGCCCCACCGGAGCCGAAAAGCCAAGGAGGAAGGGACAGAGCTGGAGTCAGTGCCGCTGTGCCACAGCAAGGATCTCGGCGGCGTGGAGACAGAGAGCGGGGGCCCCCCCGCCAGCCCTGGCCTCCTTGTCCCCGACCCGCTGGTCCAGAGCAGCAAGAGTGCACCAGACTGCCCCCCGGACCTGCCGCAGCGGAGGGAAGAGCAGATCTGCTGACCTTGGAGCCTGGCAGGCTCCGCGTGGGACAGGCTCTTCCCCGATGGAGGAGCTGGGAAGCCTGCTCCTGCCTGCCGGGGCTCTGGGAGAGAGGCCTCCGCGGCTTCCTCCGGCTATGCTCAGGGACGGGGGGGGACCTTCCTAAGGTGCCACTGGCAGAGGACTGGTGCCAGACAGTGGTCTGGCACGCGCCGCAGGTCTCCAGCTCAGTGGGAGCTGCTGGCGAGGTCTCGGACAAGGCGTTGGTGCCCCATTGGGCAGGCCTCCATCCCCGAGTCTCTCGGGCAAGCATGGGTGATAGGATGCCTGCCGTGGCCAGTAAAGCAACTCAGCAGAGGCATCTCTGGGGTCACTCAGAAAGGGGGTGGGGGACAAGCGGAGATGGGGCAGAGCACCGGACAGACACGCCCCCTGCCTCCCTTCCCTACGCCCCATCAGAAGCCAGCCTAGAACACGGCCTGCCTCCCGCCCCGGCGCCCCTCCCCTGCATCTTTCCAAAGGATTGGTACGAGGCTCCCGCCCCAAGTGGTGGTGGTGGGGGTGCTGGGACTCAGCTTCCCGGGCCTGTGGTGCCACCTCTGGGAAGTCGAAGAACAGAGGAGCAGGTGCCACTCTGGGCCGTGACTACCCCGTCTTCCTCTGCAGCCGCTCAGGGAAATGGCCCTCCCCTGGGGCCAGCTGTCCCCTCACGGGCTGGGCCTCTTCCACTGTTGGCCTCGCCCTTCTTCTGAGCTAAACGGTGGATTTGAATTTTCTTTTTTAAATGCTTAAGTTTTGGCTTACTCTTTTCACAGCAACATTTTGTTGAATTTTTTTCCGCGCAGCTTTTCCAAAATAAAAACCTTCCAAACCACCCTGCCCCTCCCTGTCTCCTGACTCCTGTCCACCCCGCCCCCCCATGCCACACGCACAGCTCACGCCTGCTGCCAGGTTGCCCCTCTTTCCCTTCGGTCCCGGAGACTCCCTCTCCTGTTCCCTGACCTGGTTCCTGGGGAGGACTCGGACCCCCCTGAACCCTGGGGCCTGAGGGGTCTTTGGAGCACACTGGCCCAGAGCAGCACAAACCCAGATGCCAGCCTACTCCCTGCTCAGACTTCCTGGAGCCGCGGGGCGGTGACTGGGGCAAATCAAACTGCTAGCCAGGCCTGAGAAAAGAGGCACGAATATATTTGTTTCCTTGTTGAATTTTGACCCCAAAAGTATTCCAGGAACAGATGGGGGAGGCCGGGCTGTCTCCTCCAGTAGGCTTTGCTGCCAAGGACAGTGGGCTTGCCCCACCGCAGGGCTGCCCCAGCCCGCTTCCCCTGCCAGGCCCAGGGTGGGGAGAGGCGGCAGAGGCGGGGGGGGGCAGCCAGGAGGAGGGGCCGGCGCAGCAGCGGTGCTTTGGCGCAGGGCATCGAGCCGAGGCGGGGGCGGTGAGGGGAGCTGCCCGTGTGCAGTCACCTTTGTCCAGTGACAGCCTCGAAGCTTGGCCAAGGCTGAGAAACGATACAGGTGTGGGTGAGGCGGGCTAAGCGGGACAGCTGCGGCCAGGGGGCCGGGGAGGGGCAGGGCTCCGGGCTGGCCACGCCCCTCTAGCTGATGATCTGCCGAGGTCGTCCGTAGCCCGTCATGCCCGCCTGCGAGGCCCCTCTGTTGCTGCCCATCTGAAGGCCGATGACATGCTTGCCCTCCTGCAGCTGGCTCTCTGTGAACTCCCGCTTGTGCTCCTGGGCTTTCCTAGAAGAGAGGACCCAGGAGAAAGACTGGGCAGGACCTCACGTTTCCCCTGCCCGCTGAGCCCTCTGTGACTCGCTGCCCGATCCCATTCCCTTCAGTCTCACGTCCCCCGGGGGCTAGGGAGGCGGGGAAGACAGCAGGGCGGAAAGGGGAGAGTCCAGAAGACTGAGGGCCCCGTTCTTCCCTCTCCCCTTCCTAGCTCTGCTCCCCCTAACCATTCCCACCACCTGGCTCAGCCAAGGCGCCCCCAACCCCAGCCCCACGGGCAGAGCTCCAAGCCTGGAGTGCGGCCGCATACTTCATAAACCAGTTGGGATCTCCGCGGTAGTGCCCATCATTCTTGGTCACTGCCAGGCTGCCCAAAGCCATCAGGGTCCTCTGCACTGCAGCCATGTCTTTGCCTGAGAGCAGACGGAGGGGACAGAAGACAAACTCAGGGTGGTGTAGACAGGCATCCAGCCAAGGCAAGCGTCCCCAAATCAACAGGCTCCAGTAGATTCCACAGTAGGTCCTGCGAGCACAGTGTGGGGTCCCTTGGCATAGCCCCACCCCTGTGAGGCCCAGGTCAGCAGGCCTTGACTTGGGGCGTGTTTTGACCGGTGCCTCTGCCCACGCCCCCTTTCTCCTCTGTACCTTCAAAGAGGTCAACAGTCTGGAACATGTCGGTCTTGGTGACCCCGTAGTCCTCAGCTGCCTTCAGGAACTGAGCCACCTGCTCCATCTGCTTGAAGACCATGGAGGGCGGGTTCTCGGGCACCTTGACTGGCTTGGAACTCTCTGGGTACAGGCTGTTCACCAGCTTGCTCAGGATCTGCCAGGCAGAGGTCACGGCTTGGTCTCGGCCCGGGGGTGGTGGAGGGGCCTGCCCCACAACCCCAGCCTCCCTCCCAGGGTGCCACTCACCACGCCGTTCTTCAGCCAGACCTGGAAGCCCAGGCGCCCACGGTCCGGGCGGCCCACGTCAGGGCCGCACTGCACGATGATCCACTCAACCAGCCGCTCCTCCAGCTCCTCGTCGTACTTCTTCTCAATTTTGGATTGCACCTCGCGGCTCATGCCGTAGGAAGGACCCTTGTTGGCCATGCTGGGGAGAGCTAAAGCCGGGCCAGGGAGGGAGAAGGGAGCGGCTCAGAGGATCGGCCAACAGTTCTCTTCCACTTGTGCCAGGCAGGGGTTCCCCGCCATCCTGGATTTATCAGAGCACCACCCCTCTGCGCCAGGCTTGGCCCCTCAGTCCAGAGGCCTCTCCGAATGTGAACACAGGAAATAGATCTTTGGACGTCTGGAGCAGGCGTAAGATCATGAAGGTGCAGACAGGAAAGTTTGAGCTTTGAAGGCTACACGGTTGCTGCTGTGACAGCACGAAAGCAGCCATAGACAACACGTAAACAAATGAGTGCGGCTGAATTCCAATAAAACTTTATTGACAAAAATAGCTGGCTGGATTTGGCCCATGGGCCTCAGTTGGACGACAACTAGTCTGCAGCATTCTTTGCTAAGACCAACCACGGAGGCCCTGGAAGGCTTTGCGGAGGCCACGCTATCCCCCCCAAAAAAAGCCAGGAGATGTCTCATCTCATCCAGCAGAAGTGAGGTGGTCTTACTGCTGCTGCCTAAGGAACCGTTAGCTCCAACTCTCACTGCCTCCTCCAGCCCGGAAGCTGCAACTCAAAACCACAGCTCCAGGCCAGGCCAGGGCAGCTCGGCCTCCGGCCTGTGGCTGCAGAGGTGCCAGCTCACTCACCCCTGGCAAGGTCTGGGGAGCCACCAAAGCCCCAGGGCCCTTGGCAAAGAAGCTGCCTTGTGTCAGGGCCCAGACAGGACCAAACTGGTCCATGCCCTCCTGCCCTCGGGCTCTCCCCACGGTGGTAGATTGAGTAACCAGTAGTCCAAGTCCTCTGGGCACGTGCCAGAGCCAAGAACCTGCCTGCCAGCGCCTGGGAAGCCAAGCCCTGCCCTGTCCGGTGGCTGCCGCCCCAAGGGCCGGGGCCTGGCAGTACTCAGGACAGCCCCACTCAGGGAGTGAAGGCTGCGGGGGCATAGGCAGGCACACAGGTCACTGGGCAGATGTGGCCACAGCTGGTCAGGCAGACCTGGGGTGGCGTACCTTCTGCCCAGTGCTTGAAGAGCTTTCCAAAAGACTACCAAAGGGGGGCAGACCCATCTCCTGGCCTCAGAGGAGTCTGAAGATGGAGGCAGCCAGGGCCCCCCCTCTTCTCCCCGCCGTGAGAACTGAGACCCCACCCACACCCTGCGGGAAGCAGAGTGAGCATCACCACGTCCCACTGGTGACCGGCCAGCACACTGTGCCTTCTGGCCCTGTCTCTCCCGGGCGCTGGCGCCTGAGTTCCCCAGCTGGGGAGTGGGGTAGCCCGCTCCGAGGGCCATGAGATGGAGGCAGTGGGACGGCTCCTCCAGGCTGCCCAGGACAGTCTCCTGGTAGCGACCGAGGGGTAACGTTTAGCAAGTGTCCTTCCCCGTTCCTGTGTCCAGCCCCTCTCAAAATCATTCCCTGAGCTGACAACAAAGACGGGGCCAAGCAACTCCAGGCAGAGTCCTCTCTCAGCCCGTCGGGCCGCACCACTCCACTTCCAGCCAGGGATGCTAGAGGACCCAAGGGAGAACAGCCAAGCCCCACCCCCACTTCCACCCAAAGACCGCTGGGCCAAGAGCCACGGTCAAAATCCACAAGTCAGTTGGGAACAGATGATTTCAGCCAAGGCTCCCTCCTCACATCCACCTGGGCTCTTCTCAGCCTTCACGCTGCTATCCCAGACTGGCACCCAGCACCCTCCATCTCCTGCCCTGCTGGGACCCAGCCCCCAGGCCCCCCACACACACTGCCCCCCACCCCACCCTTCACTCTGTCTCCTGAGACGAGCCTCGCGAGCCTCCCAGGAAATCCCTCTGAATCGCCGCTCCCTGCCGCCAGCCCAGGCACATTTCTAGACAAAGGCCCCTGGACAGCACTGCGTGAGGCTGGGCATGGACCCTGCTACCCTGGGGCTTCCCAGGGGTCCATGGGTGAGGGCAGGGATCGGAGAAAGAGCAAAATCCAAGCGCACCTCCTCCCGGGAGCCCAGGCACAACAGCAGAACAGAGGGACAGAGGCAGCAGCCCGCTGCCCAAAGGCGGTCCATGCTCACTGTTAGCCTGTGAATTGCAGCCACTGCGGAGGGGATCACAAAGACCCTTGGGAATGGCCAGGGGCCTGGACCTGGCCAGCCCCTCCCTCCAGAGCTGCACCTTCTGGGCAGAGCTCACCCTCGCCCCTCTGGCCACAGTGGGGTTCCCTCCCACCAGGACCAGGGAAGAAGCACAGAGGCTCTGCTGTGTAGTGCTGCTGTCCAGCACGGCGACCCGACACCCCCTCACCTCCTCCTGCATCCTCCTGGAGGGACAGCAGCCAGCAGAGCCTCGGCCTGACTCACCTGTGGCCAAGACGGGAAGCCCCATTTCCCACCCCAACCATGCCCACAGTGAATTCCCCGGCACCAGCCAAGTCACGCCAGGCCTTCCAAGGAGCTGGGTGGTCCAGTCTAGGCGAGGCCAGGACCCCCAGTCCCCTCCTCCCTGGCATGCACGTGGACACCACTCTGTGTAGCTGTGGAGGGTGGGCTTCCCCAGCCCCTGGCTCTCTGCAGAGCCCTGCCTGCCGTGTAGCCAGATGCCGCTGTGCGGGCTCCAGCCCCTCTTCCCTCCAGGCCCCAGACAAAGGCACTTACAGGGGCTCCTCGGATTCGCAGCAAGGAGTGAGGTGCGGCGTCTGGGCTGGGGCAGACAGGACGGGGCGCTGGCTGGGTGAGGGGTTTAAAGGGCCCCGCCGCAGTGATGTCAGCCTCCCCCGCTGGCTCGCCCCTGGGCCCCCCCTCCCTGCAGGAGGAAACCGGCTCGTCTCCCCACCCCCAGCCCCCCAGTGACTCCACTCAGGCTCCATATTTGGGGAAAGACACCAAGTTGGAGCAGTCTGCCGGGGGCTGCCCGAGACATTCTCTGCGTGCTTTGGAGATGGAGCCGGAGGGGCGGGGCTGCGTGGCTGCTGGGAGCCGGCCGGGAAAAGCCTTTTATGGGCAGGACCACGAAGGCCTTCCCTGCTGTTGGACTTGGGGCTGCTCCTTCTTCACTGTTCCCTGC